GAAAATAGGTTTTTTTCTATTGGTAAAAAAAAAAGTAGGAGTAGGTAGGTGGTGCAGTGGATAGAGCTCAGGACAACCTGTGTTCAAATATGGCCTCAGACACTTGACATTTAACTGTGTGACCCTGGGCAAGTCACTTAACCTTGATTGCCTCACCAAAAAGCAAAAAAATAAAAAAATAAAAGTAGTGTTTCTGCATCATCTTGTGGTGACTTGGACAAAGACTAGGTCATTTTTATTCTGTTCAGGGTAGAGGATGAAGTCTATCCTTGACCTTATCTCTGTCAGACTTTTGAGAATTCAGCTCCTCACTTACCAAAATTGCATTTCTCTTTCCACTGCCCACATCTCTCCCATGGCCATCCAAGCCACAGTTATAATAACAGAATCTGCTATCTCTCAGTTTGTATTAGATGGATGGTAATCTTCTAGCAAAGAGTCTGGATTGGTCTCTTGCATCTTGGTTCCAGCAGGTGTAATGGTCTGGTCCAGAAGCATCAGATATATGACCACAGGCCACATGTGGCCCACAACATTCCTGAGTACAGCCAGAACCAGATTAAAATGCAAAGGAGAAACATTTAATGAAATAAATTAAAATACAAAAGAACATAGATAATATTGCATTTAAAAACTAAGCCAATATGTAGCCTGAAGGGATCTTTATGTATGGATTGGTGGCCTTCATTTCTATTTGAGTTTGACAACTCTAGTCTAGTTTGTTGGCCTAACTTTCATTAGGTTGTTGATGGATTTTGGATCTTGACTTTGTCGTCTGAACTGTCTTCTTTCTTGGATTTTGTAGTCCATCCCTAGGAATTTTTTCTTGTACTGGTATTAGTTGAGTGCACCTTTTGAAATCCTGCAAGGCACCAATAGTCACTGAAACCTGCCTTTGCACCACCAGGATGTGCAAATCAGTTGCTTTGCAAAGTATGGCTTCTGTTAAGAGTTCCAGCCCCATAGGCTGTTTACCCTCCAATTAGTCTATAAGCTGCTTTAATTCATTCGCTTGCACCATCTAGACTGTCAGATGCTACATATAGCCCAGTGTTCAGAATTCCACAAATTGGGGTGGTCAGAGATAGGCATATGCTCCGAATGGCCTGGCGCCCAGGCCTCCTGCCAGACCGAGGCCGGTCTGATTCCTCTGCTTTCAGCATGGGCACATCCGTCCGGGGGCCGCCTATCTGATCCTCAAATGTGTCTGAGGCAACCTGTAGGGCCTTCAGCTGATCCACTGTCTCTCGAAGGAGGAATCACATTTCAAATTGGTCCACTTTGAATGCATGGTCATACACCAGCTCAGCGTAGTCCACTGCAGTGAGCACGGCGCTGTTCAGGGTCCTGGAATAGTCCGAAACCAGCGAAGGCCAAAAGAGGCAATGCGGAAGTGGCTGCAGGGGCCTTACCTGCCGCAGCCTTGGGCCAGAGCAGGCACTGGGTCAGCAGCTCATGACATCCTTAGAGATCCCCGAAAAGGGGCGGGAGCGCGCTTGGACTTGTCTGGCCCAGCCAGCCTCATCCCCTCTTCCTGACTGAGGTCTTGGGGACAAGTTGGAGTCCTACTTCTGCTTCTGATGGGGGTAGGGAGTAGAGGGAGAGTTCTCCTATTTTTTTTAACTAAATAATTTCTTTCTTCTTTTATAATTTTTTTAAGTATTATGAACTTGACAAACATCAATAATCATGAACATTTCTCTGCACCAAGAAAAAAAAAGATCTGTATATGCACCTGATTTCCATTACATATAAATAATGTACAAAGAGATATGTTCCATAACAGAGGTTTAAACAAAGTCCTATATCTGAATATACATAAAGGAAAGCCCTTTTTTTGCTGGAGGAATTATGGCAGGATTCATGGGAAAAAGTGGTGTTTGAGCTGGGCCCTAAAGAATGGATGGGAATTAAACAGGCAGAGTGGAGGGAAAGGGCAAGCTACAGGAAGGGCAGCTAGGTGGTACAAGGGATAGAGCTCTAGGCCTGGTGTCAAGAAAATTCTTCCTGAGTTCAAATCTGGCCTCAGACACTTACTAGCTGGGTGACCTTGCAAGTCACTTTACCCATTTTGCTTCAGTTTCCTCATCTGTAAAATGAGCTGGAGAAGGAAATAGCAAACCACTCCAGTATTTTTGCCAAAAAAACCCCAAATGGGGTCACAGAGAGTTGGACATGATTGTGGAGGGGCAGCTATTCCAGGCAGAGGGAATTTGACTTAGACATACATAGTTTGTAGGCAGGAAAGTTCTGGGCAGATTTAGGGAATGATGAGTAGTCCAGTTTGATTGCAGTGGATTTTGAATGCCAGGCTAAAGATTTTGGGTTTTACTCTATAGGTAAAGGGGGTGGGACCTGTTTAAAGGTTAACAGGATGTGTAGGATGAATTGGAGGGGAGAAAGGAGTGAATGTGAGGTGAGCAGCTAGGCAGCTATTTCAAGAATCCTGGTGAGAAGTAATTAGGGTCTCAAATAGATCATACAAAGGGGATGGAGTAGAGGGATCAGAGAGGAGAGATACTGATGATAGGTTGTGGGGGTAAAGGAAGGAACCAAATATGTTAGAAGTTTCTTTTATTTACTCATTCATTCAATAGCATTTATTAGGTACAGTGCACTGTGGTAGATCTGGAAGACACACAAGGAGAAATAAAACATATTCCCAGTGTTTAAGGAGCTTCCAATTTGAGGGAAATAAGATACATAGACAATTAAATTTTAATACAAATTAGGCTATGGTAACTCCTAGATGGGGAATAATTGTGAATACCAACTGCAACTTATCAGAGACATTTCTGCTCTCTGGTTTAGCAGGGAGCCTGTGCTTATGAGTAGATTGTGCCTTCTGGGGAATAGCAATCCTTATTTGATTAAGCATATCACAACTGCAAAACCTTTCCCTGCGGAGTGCTGTTACTCTACTCTAGGAAAAGTGAGAGACAACTGAAAACCTTAAGTCTGGTTCCACCACCCTCTGCCCAACTCTGAGTTACTAGATCTGAGTGTGAATCCTGGTTCTGTGGCTTATTTACTGCCAGATGGATTACCTCTCTGGGCCTTTGTTACCTCATCTGTTTAAATAAATAAGGGGGCAACAAGCATTTATTAAATGCCTACTATGTACTAGGCACTATGCTATGAGTTGAAGATACAAAGAAAGGTAAAAGACAACTTTTGATCTCAAGGACCTCACTTGAATGGGGCAGACAACACGAAAACAACTATGTATAAACAAGGTTTATACAAGATGAACTGGAGATTATATCAGAGGGAAGGCACTAAGAATAAGAAGTACTAGGAAAGTCTGCAGAATGTGGGACTTCAGCTGAGACTGGTCTCGACTTCTAAGATTGTTTCCAGTTCTAGGTTTATTGTATGAGCATATATACATAAATGTGGTTCAGAAGAAAAGTGCTGGTCTGGGAAAAGACACAGGTTTGACTCATAAATCTACAGCTGGAAGGGACTTCAGACGTCATCTAGTCCAATTCTTTCGTTTTATAGAGGAGGAGACTGAGGCTCTGGGAGGTTGAATAGGCATGAGAGAAACATCATCAAAGTTCTTTGATCCCCCAAAATCCCTGCACTTTCTACTGTACCATATTGCCTCCACCTCTTACTGGCTGTATAAGCATTGATAAATCACATTTCAACTCAGTTTCCTTATCTCTAAAAATGAGGATTCTTAATATCCTTACCTTTATGGGTTGATGTGAATATCAACGAGACAAGATATGTAAATCGTTTTTGCAGACCTTAAAGGCTGTGATCAGTGGTGGTGATGATGTACAAACCACTAATTTGATTTGTGAGGGGAGTATCCAATGAGGAACTTCCCCTACCAAAACAGAACAGATCCCTGATATTCAATAGTCCTAGAGAGTTGGCCAGGCACTAAGGGGTTGAGTGCTTTGGGCAGGAGGGTTTTATTATTATTATTCTCTATTCTAATAATAGAGAATAAAATAGGAATATAAAGGGCTGTGAAGTTAATTGAGGAAGAAATATTTTCTATCTAGAGAAATTAAGGAAAGTTTTGAAATGAGTAACTGAGGGAAGGAAGGCACCATTAACAAAAATATTACACACATGTAATTACACATTATATATTATATATATATGTGTGACATAGTGCATGTAACAGAATTACGTATTACTTCCAATGTTGCATATATTATATGTAATAAATAGTACTATATGTAATATTTCCGTGGGCGAAAAAAAATAAAGAAAATAGAGTGACAGAGTGTTCTACGTATGCAAATAAATTCGCTACAAATTAATAAATGCTATAGTGACGCTGGTCCTGAGCTTCCCCAAGGGGTGAACCCAGACAAAGTCGTTCCTATCCAGAGCCCGCAGCCGGGACTGTGATTTGCATTTGCGAAAGATGGAAAAAGGGGAACCACATTTTGAAAACTCCGGGCTTCTACATTATCCAGGAGGGCGGGCCAGAGTCTCACCAGAAACCCAAAGGGGCTTCGCTAAGCGATTCTCACCGCCTCTCCCACAGAGCTAAGACACCCCGCCCCCTACCCCGACCCCGCGTCCTGGAGCACAGCGGGGGACATGAGGGGTCCGGGAGAACGGTGAGGGACGAGGTGTGGGGGCAGGACTGCCAGCTCGGGCGTGTATATTGCAGCGTGTGCGTGTGCCTCTCCCCCGTCTTGCGCACCTGACCCTCCCGCCCCCTCCTGTTCTTTAAAAACAAAAAAAAAAACTCGCGGAAGAAACTGGAGGAGGGGGGTTTCTCCATGAGCCCTGGGGCTTAAACAAGCTCAGTATGGTTTTCTCTCCTCCTCCTCTTTTCCCCCAGCTCCACGCCTTAGCTGCCTTGACCGCCAGACCACACCCCCTGTCTCCAAAGGTACCCAATCACCGGTGGCGAGGGGAGAGCGCCTTACGTCATATTCCGGGAAATCCCCTTCTCTTCCAGCGGCAACCCGGCCCTTCCCCACGCTAGGCCCCGCCCCCCAGCCCCCCCCCTCCCCCGCTGGGCCGCGCGGCGGGAGACCCGGCTGATTAGGCTGGTTGGCGGCGAGTGCTGACGGAGGAGACGTACTGCCTGGCCAGTCCGTGCCCTGCCCTGCCTTACCGTGCGCTGCCCTGCCTTGCCCTGCCCGGCGAACGCTGCAAGGGAGCCCGGCGCGCGGACCGGAGCCATGGCGGCCGGTGAGTGTCCCCGGGGCCGGCCCTGGAGAGGTCCGGACTCCCGAGGATGGTGAGGGGATCCGGCGCAAAAGTTTGGGGGAGTTACCCGGGATTCCCCCATATCCCCCGGGCAGCGACTCCCGCAATCCGGGGAGGAGGAGGGGACCTTGGGGGAAAGGGCGAAGTGAAAACAAAGATGATTTGGCTGTCAGTCAAGCATTTATTAAGCGCCCACTTTGTGCCAAGCACTGCTTCGAGCTCTGGGGATGCAAAGGTAAAAGACAGTCCTATTTATTAAGCGCCTGCTCTATGCCAGGCGCATGCCGGGCGCTGGGGATGTAAAGAACGGTAAAAGACCGCCCGGGCTCTCCAGGAGATCGCAGTCTAGTGGGGGAGACAGCATGCAAACAACTATACGCAAGCAAGCTGTACGCAGGATAAACTGGGGAGAGTCTCAGAGGGAAGGCAGGGTCGTTAACTTACCTTCCCAGCCTTATCTTACCTTGAAGCGCTCCAAAAATGTCAAGTATCTTTATTACTTTTGGTTGTAGCTGTTGTCCTAGTAATAATAATCCTTGGATCCCTACTTGGGTTTGAGAGATCTCAGCTGGGTACTTCCTCAGCTGGTGCGGACCTCGGCTCATTCATACTTTCTCATCCTATACGACTCTTTAACCCATGGTCTCTCCTAAATGCTCCCCAGGGGGTCCATCCTATGGTCTGACAATTTCCTCCATATTCTTTGCCATTGCATGGATGCGGTGAAGCACGCATCAGAGCTTTCATAGTTTAAAATTCTTTTTTTTTCCCCATCGGAATGATGGTATTATGTTTTAAAAATGGAGTTGAAAAATCTCCAGGTCCTGGGGCCCTCTTCTTTGGTCTGTATTCACCGTGTATGAAGAAAAAGGATAGAGGATAATCCCATTTATGCCAATAATTGTGAAGACCAACATGATGGCTCTAAAAGCCTTTGTTATTAATAATGGTAATGTGAAGAAAGCATTTTTTAAATGTGTGAAATTAAATAGTTATATCCTACTTTCCCCCAATTAAGCTAAGGTTTTCCTATTAAAAATGAGGAGAAAAATGAACATTTAAAGCGTGCTTAGAAATACATACATTTTAAAAGTAACCACATCTGTCAGTATTCACTCCCCCCCCCAATCTAGAAAGTTGTCTTTTTTAAGGGTCAGGAGAAAGGGAAGAAGCCCTCATCTCCCTTCCTGATGAGGTTTTGAGAGGATATTGAAGAGTTATTATCGGATGATCAGGATTAGATGGATTTCAGTCTGCATCACTGGAGGGAACACCCTCATCTGTGAGCTCCATTTGATTGCTTTGAGATTAGTAAATGAGTCAGAACTTTATGTCTCATGGCTTTGGCAAACATTGAACTTTGTTCTATCTGTCTCTCTCCTGTGTTCTTTCCCTTTAGTTTTCTTTCCATTCCCATTGCTCTCCTAGCTGGGCATTAAAGCTGAAGTGTTGAAACAATTATTTGTTACTTTTTTTAAAGTAGTTTTTATAGTCCTTGATTTTTAATTTTAAAATCATCTCCTCTGTACCTTCTCTTAAAACAAACAGAAGACAATCCATCAAGCACTTAAACTCCACTAAAATATAGAATTTTTTTTACACTTGTATGGTCTGTGACCCTCAATAGAAAAAGGTCTCCTGCCCCTGTTTTAGAGTGTAGAAGAGGAAGTAGCAAACAGAAAGGATTTTTTTTCTTTTTAAACAGAACAATGTCATTGCAACCATTGTAAGTTGAAAAGGAAGTAAGTAAGGTTGTTTCAGATGATATACTTTGGGCTGTGTTTGCGGTTTTAGTGTGAGAATATGTGTATAGTTTAAAATATTAAAACTTTCCCTTTACCCACATCATTGACACTAAAATGCCATATAATTGGGTTAATAATATTAAAATGAATTTGGATGACTAGCACGAAAAAGCTTTTAGTTGTCAAATTTCTGATTTGCTAAAAAAATCTGTGAGAATATCAAAGACATATTTCACAATTAAAATAGGCAGTATGCTGGAAATTTAATCAACCTTTTCAGGAAGTGTGAATTTGTCAACCATGTGATACTTTTTAAATGGGCAACAAAAAATTAACCACATTTGTATGCAATGTATTTAACACTCCACATTTTTATGAAAATGATGGTAAAGTAGTTCCCTTAGTGAATCTGTAACCTCTGTTGACTGATATGAGAGTTCCTTACTATAAAAAAAAAAATTACTGTAGCAATATACTGATTATGATAGGATGATTTAAAGGAATTCAAAAACTAAAAGTGGTTTTCTTTCTTTCTCCCGAATGCTAAAATTGTAAGTAACTAGAAAAGGATTTCTACAGAAGTATTTTAAAAATTAAATGTTATCTAGTATTTTAAAAACAAATGAATGAACAAAGAAAATACGTTTTTGAGTATATTATGATTTAATTCCTATTCATGAAGTTTGAAACTAATTTAAAAGGAAAAATCTACTGTCTTGTTCTGGCCTTTATAATGATAATAATTGTGGTTCAGTTGTGTCCGACTCTTTGTGACCCCATTTTGGGGTTTTCTTGGAAGTGATTCTGGAGTTGTTTGCTATTTCCTTCTCCAGCCCATTTTACAGATGAGGAAACAGACAAGCAAGGTTAAGTGATTTGCTAGTAAGTGACACAGCTATTAAGTGTGTGAGGCCAGATTTGAACACAGGATGATGAGTCTTTCTGACTCCAGGCCCAGCACCTAGCTGCCCTAAATGATAATAATAGCTAACATTTTATGTAGCACTCCTCAATCTTCTTTCCTCCAGAATTAACAGTACAGTAATTAGAGATTTCATTAGAGTGATTCCAACAGGTACCAGAGAAAACATTTGTTGTACAGATTTGATCACTATAGAGAATAAAGTAAAGGCAGTTATGTGGTGCCATGGTGCACAGAGTGCTGGGCCTGAAGTCAGAAAGACTCATCTTCCTGAGTTCAAATCTAGCCTCAGATACTTACTAGATGTGTGACCTTGGACAAGTCACTTAACCCTGTGTGCATCAGTTTCCTCATCTGTAAAATGAGCTGGAGAAGGACATGGCAAACCACTCCAGTATCTTTGTCAAGAAAACCCAAATGGGGTCATGAAAAGTCAGACACAACTGGAAACAACAGAGCAATAAATGTGACAGGCATTGTGCTAAGAGTTTTACAATTATCATGTTATTTGATCCTCATAACAACTTTGGGAGGTGGGTGCTGTTATCATTGGTGAAAGCTTTTATACCTTTATTTGAACATTTGATTATCTGTGTATCTTTAATAAATCATAAGTTTGTTGACAAAAAGCTCTGCTTAATTGATTAAAGTTTATTGTCATCTGTGGTTAGAGTCTATTAACTTTGACATAACAGAAAACCTCACAAAGTATTTTAATACAGTAACAGTAGTTAATACTGCTTTCTCAGATTTTAATACTTCATCTCTTAACTAACTTTGACATGGAAGCAAGCCTTTGTAGTTGAATGCATATGGTTCAGATACCATGAAAGTACCATAAACTATAATTTATAAGAATAAAAAGATTTTTGGGAGAAGTAGAAAAATTGATTATTTTTGCAAATTACTTTGAAGTTCAGGCTTTTCTAAGTGGTCAAAGCAAATGGTTAGGATTTTGCAGCCCTTAGATTCCAGTAGATTAGCTTAAATAAGGATTTTAAAGCTTCCTTTCAAATCTGTTGATATCACAGTTAGAGTAGGAAGTATGAAGAAAAATGTTCCCAAACCTATCTAAGGTATGTATAGTTGGGCAATCAGTGTTCCTGTTTATTTATGAATTTCAGTGAATTGCAAGAAAGCAAGTTGTTTTGTTGTTATGTTAGCTAATATATCTAATAGAAATTTATCTCTTTTGTAATTTCATATTACTTCATTGTAGAGAACAAAAAAGCATACTTGAAGCACTATTTTCTGATAATTAGTTAAATAGTTTTTTTCTTTTTCCTCTCTAGCTAAGGAATCTTACCTTTCTTTTATTTACATTTTTTCTTCCACTTGGAATTGCCTTGTCACATGTTAATAGAAAATGCGTGAGGAAAATATTTCTGTATACCCCATATGTAGTCTAAAGTTTCAAGAGGATTACTTTTTGTGGCTGAGAAATGTGGAAAGTAGTTGTCAGTAAGATACAAAAATACCTTAGAGAAGATGACTTAGGAGGGACTGCTCATGGGATAAATTAGTTTAAATTTGAAATGGACAAGGAAAGCATATTGGAATATTGTTTCAGAAATGGATCCATATGGAAAAATACATTGAAATTAAGAGTGGACTAAGGGAATTAAGGTGATATAGAATGAGAATCATAGGATCTTAAAGGCCTTTTTAGTGCAGCCCTCTTCTCTTGTTTTACAGTGGAGGAAATGGAGGCCCAGAATAGTAAATGACTAGTTCAGGGTCACATAGCTAATAAGTGACAGAGCTGGGGCTTGGATTTAGGTCCTCTGAGTCCAGATGATAGTAGCACACAATGGAAAGGAATAGCTTCTGGCAGTACAGAGTAATACAAAAATAATAATCTACTGTGTTATAGTCAAAGTGGATTTCTTGCCATCCCTCCAATTTCACCAGGGATTTCTCTGACTCCATGTATTTGCTTGTATTGTTCTCTGTGCTTGAAATGCCCTCTGTTCAATTCTACCTGTTTAAATCCTACCAGGTCCAGTTTAAAAGTCATCTCTTTCATAAAATCTTCTCTGATCTTTTTTTCCTCCTCCCTCATAAGATCTTCCTCTCTCCTTCATTTGATCTCTTAGCACTTTGTAGTCCTTCATTGTATTCTAATTTGTCTACTTGTTATAATCTAATTTGTTTTATTTTTATCACCCCACTCAGACTGTGGGAACCTTTAAGGTTCTTAGGGAGTTATTTATATTTTTGTTTTCTTCAATAGGTAACATAATACTATGGTAGGTGTTTCATATTTATATAAGGGACTGAGAGAGGAAGGTAGTTTTTATGTCCAGAAGAAGCAA